TTGTTGTTTCATTGTCCCTTGGTGTGTTTTTTGCAGGTTTTTTTTTTTTTTTTTGTGTGTGTGTGTGTGTTGTTTTGTGAACTGCTGACGGTCTTGTTTTGAAATTAGGTTTTGTAATGTACCATTGATAATAATCATGAGTAAATGTAAATTCTTTACACTTCATGGTACACTTTCAGGGACCTCAAGGACCACATGGAAGTCCAGGACCACAGGTAAGTCTTAACTTCAGTATCAAACAAACACTGTACAGAACGGGTTGCATTTAAATGACCTTAAAAGCTGGACTGACATGCATTAAAAATGTTTAATACTAAAAATCATATTTTTAAGTATTTTGTGTTCTGGGATAAAATCTGTATCTTCTAGTAGTGCCTCTTCACAGAGAATATCTTAGAAACTGATCTGATTGGGACCATTTTTGCCCATAACTTATGCATTTTTTTTTTTAGGGACCACCGGGCCCTCCCGGACCCACAGTAAGTGTTTTGTGCCAGGAATCATGTTTACACAGAGTTTAGTTTGATGGTATGAAATTCTAAATGCTGAAAAAATGTGTAACATGTCTGGAGAGGCAACAACTTTATAACGTTCCCATGTCCTGTTAAAATGTGTTCCTTTTTTCTAGAGTTTTTTTTTTTTCAAAAACGACTAACCAACAAATAATGAATTTCAGAAAATGTTGTAGCACTTGGCAAAGTAAATCATTTATCAACTTCTATTATCTTTACTTCCACTGTATCAGATCCTTCTTTAATCAAAGAATATCTGTAGTGTTTATAAAAGATTGTCATTGTTAATTCTGCTAAAATTAATAATGTGAGCCTTTATAGATACAAGCCTTCTCCTGTTTTTCTGTAGGATTACAGTAGATAGTGACTGTTATGGTTTGAATGTGTCTAATCATGTTGGTTCTGAATCTTCAGAGATACATTTATGATGACTCAGCTCTCCACAGGCAGTCTGACACAGACGTCAGGACAGAGGTAAAGCACGTAAAGACTGTTCTCTCTATGTCATAATATCATTGAAGGATAATTTGTTTTAATCATTATGTTCAAAAATTGAAGCTTATAGATACCTTATTTTCAGAGGGATATATTTTAGTTTTTGTGATCATGGTGTAAAACCTAAAATTCGGTTGAAGTTCACCTAATACAAATAAATAAGGATGCTGTTTTAAAGAGGTTTTAAATCCTCATTACTCTGTAGTTTGACTCCTTTGTTTCCCTTGCATAAGCAGATCTTTCAGAACATTGAAATGAACCTGCCAGACCAGAACGTAGAGATACTGAAGACCCTGCGTTACCTGAGCGGAGTGATTGAAAGCATCAAAAAACCTTTTGGCACAAAGGAAAATCCGGCTCGTGTCTGTAAAGACCTCCTGGACTGTCAGCACTTACAACTCAAAGATGGTAAGTTCACTGAGTCACATGTTGGAGAGGTTAGCCAAATTATACAATACACCAGAATAAGATGGACTGCTATCTAAGCAAATGTGTTTTTAGTCTTGATTGAAACAAACTCAGTGTTTCAGCATTTTGGCAGTTTTCTGGAAGTTTGTTCCAGATTAGTGGTGAATGAAAACTGAAGCTTCTGCTTGTTTAGATCTTATTCTGGGGAAGCAGAGTAGACTTGGACTAGAAGTCCTGACTGGTCTGGGTTAACAGCAGGCCTTTAGGATAAACTAATAGAAGTATTTTAAAATATATTCTCTGACTACAGGGAGCCAGTGGGAGGACTTTAGAACTGAGGTGATCTTCTCTATCTTCCAAATTTTAGTGAGAACGTGAACAGCTGCATCCTGGCTCAGCTGCAGATGTCTAATTGATATTTTTAGGCAGACCTGTGGAGACACCGTAAAGTAATCAGTTCAAATAAAGATAAACATGTGGATGAGTTTCTCAAGATCTTTGTGGGACATTATTGCTTTAATCCTGGAATTTTTTTTTCAGCTGATAGAAGGCTGTCTTTGTAACTGACTTTGTGTCTGAAGGCTCAGATATGAGTCCATCACTACACCCAGATTTCAGGTTTGATCAGTAGTTCTAGCTTTAGCTGGGGCCTTGTCTGCAGTGATGTGGATTTTTTGTGATGAAAAAATAACCTTGATAAATTTGTTTAGGTCCCAATCTTTACCTCTGGTAATGAGAAATTGATCAAAATGGAGAGGCCAAGATCTCAGATACAAGTGACTGTAATTAGGTAGGGTGGCTGTATTTAGCCTTGAAGACTGGGTGAGGAACACAAAGTCCTTCCTTCTTGACATGTTTCCAGGATCCATAATCTTGGATATTCAGACGACACAAAATTTGATGGATGTGAGTGATGCATCTCTGTGTAATTGAACATTTTTTCCATTTTATTTCAGATTGGTTCTGGATTGATCCAAACCTTGGCTGCACTTCTGATGCCTTCAAGGTCTTCTGCAACTTTACTGGAGGTGGACAGACTTGTTTACACCCAGTGGCCTCCAATAAGGTATCAGTGGAGAAGTAAAACACTAAACATGTCAATGCTTTGAGCATTAGAAATTAGACTAAATAAATGTTGGTACCCTGAAAGAGATCTCTTACCATTTCTTATCTTTGTGCTTATGATACTACAGTCATACTTTCTATTCCTTTTTTATAGCTGGAGTTTGACATTGGGAAAGTCCAAATGAAGTTTCTCCATTTATTGAGTTCTGAAGCAAGCCAAAGCATCACATTTCACTGTCTGGGTGATCCAGCCTACAAAACCAAAGACAAATTCAGCTCCTCCGGATCCATGCAAAGAGAAGACGCCAAACCCCGGTTTATTGGTTGGAATAAACATGCATTTAACACACTACTTGAACCACATCTGATTCAGGATGAATGCAAGGTAATGGCATGGATAGAAAGCACATTTTGAATAGCAGGATTAAGACACACATGGTGTGGTTAGCTTAACTCACTCAGTGGATCTTTTCTCTAAAGAAGAATCATTGAAATGTTTTCTGTAAATCAAATACTACTGGAAAACATTTTACAGTGAAGTGTTTGTGTTGCACTTGGTAGCTCTGTCGCCTTGCACCAAGAAGGTTTTGGGTTCTAATCATGGAACCCAAAACCCCACAACCACAGCAGTTAAACCTGTCCTGTGGTTCTGAAAAAATAAGAAAGCATGACGTCATAAACTCTTTAATAAAAATTTAAAAACAACCAAACCTGTGGAGTACATAGCAAGAAAACACAGAAATGGTAAAACAGAAACCAAGAGAAATGACTAACAATCCTTCTATGAAAAAATATCTGAATTAAAGATTTGATCAAAAGTTGTATGTTTCCATGAAAGACTACACCTCTGCCATAAAGTATATGTATTTTTTTAATTTCAGATGGGTGTTTTTTGCATATTTGAACAAGGGATGCTAATATGTGTGGAGGCTGCTTTATATGAGATGGGGAAATGGAAAACATTTGGATTTTTGAAGTGCTTTAAATCATCTGAACCATAAAAAAACTAAAGATATTAATCACAGTTTTTTATGTTTCAGATTCAAGATGGCAGCTGGCACCAGTCTCATTTTTTCTTCCACACTCAGGACAGTCGTCAGCTACCTATCATAGACATCCAGGAATTTTCTTCTTCACTGCTTAACCATCAACAACACTTAGAAACTGGTCCTGTCTGCTTCCTCTGACCCCTACATTGTCCTGTAACTAGCTCTCATAAATCACTCATGTCTACAGAAGCTCAAACACGCCTTCCTTTCTAAGAGATGCTGCCTCGGCTACATCAAAAGATGGGTGATTTTATTGAACAGCATTATTGAGACTTTGGGAGAGTAACAAATTCCAGGTGCTGAGAACTCGAACTTCATGGAGTGTTTGTGCCAGCAAGGAAAATGAGATCTGTGCTTTCAAAGAAATGTGTAAACAACGGTTTGCTTGACATTTTTACAGTGCTTAGACTGACTGCATATGGGCTCATATGTTAATCCCTAAACACAGGGAAGGGCCTCCAAACGCAGCAGCCTCTCCATATTCCAAACCTTACACAGAAAGCACACCCAGACCATCCTATGCAGGGGTCAAACCAGAAGGAACGGGCCAGGCTTCTGCACTGGGCACTGTCTAACAAAAGTGTATGCAAGTGCAATAGTGTGTGGATATTATGTAACTGCTTTAAAATGCAAAGTCCCATCTAAGGCAGTATTTTTAATAACCTTTTTTGTCTTTGGTCTTGCCCAGTTGGACTCTGACATATTGACCAATGGTGCTCTACCTCTACCTGCTTGTTTGCTTTCTAGACTAGTTTCTATTGTCAAATAGTCCTTATAAATGATGCGTTGTATGTACCGGTTACATCAAGATTTTTTTTTTTTTTGTGTTATACGAGTACTTATGTTCATTTGGTCATTTCTAATTTATGAACCAATTTTTGATAGACGCATTTTTGTAGCTTTTTCTCTTTTTGGTAGGTCCAGTAACCTACTGTTGGTGCTGCAACAACAGACAACAAGTCATCAAAAATTACTGTGTATATATTGACGGCATATTTTTATTTTTTATTTATAATCTTTTTTTTTTTTATTCACATTGCTGTAGCACAGTAAGTTATACTCTCAGATAAACTGTTTGGCCAATCACAGCTCTGTTATTTATGTCTAAAAGGTACATTTGCGAGTTCATTCCTGTGACTGTTCATCAAATACTTTCAGAGGTTGTTTGCTGACTGGCAGCTATTTTTGGCCAGAGTCAAACAGTCAAAATAGTCTTAACTTATATTATATTATTAAAAGCGTTCTGTGAAGTTTTTGGAGTATAACAATGGATGGAAATGTGTAAATAAATAAATGGTACATTTTATTCACAGATGGTTTGCTGCTTTTTTTCCTTCTTTTTTTTTTTTTTTTGAAAAAATGAAAAATATTTGCATGATAATAACTGCCAGTATAAATACCACAGGTTTTAAAGGCTTTTCCCAAGTCTGGCAAAATATGGAAAAAATGTGTATCCATTTTATGGTTTTATTTTCAGTTTTCTGAACATCTAAAACTACAGTTTTCAACCAATATGCAGTAGAAGCTTTTCATTTTAAACAACATGGAAAAGTTACATTTATCAATTTTCCCATCAATCTGTCCATTATCCTTTTATCCACTCATCAATCTATGAACAAATTTGTCCATCCTTAATTAACATCTGAATTTTGAAATATCAAAAATTCATAGTGAATGCTTATATTTATGAAGTGGATAAAAAGGTCTGCAAATTGCCTTTAAGATCTTATGCTTTGTGATGAAAAGCTAAAGAAACCCATAATAAATTATTTTAGAATATTTCACATTTAGTGCGACCTAGAACCTGGTACAACTGGAAACAAACGGGAATGTGGATAATAATAGATACCACAATTAATTACACCTCATTAAATTGTTGCATAATTCTTATAACTTGAGATATGTAAAACTTGTTTCTCTCCATTCAAATGTTGTCACTACACCCCTGCTGTCACTTAAGGTTCCTCTGATTAACGCAACATAATGTTCAGTTGTTCTATTTGGACAGTTTGTTAGTCATCTCTAACAGGAAAATCTGTAGTTCATCAAAAGGATCTCATTGTCAAAAGGAATCAGTCAGGGGAGGACAGAAAATAATTTCCAAGATCATGGAATACAGTGAACTCAGAACTGTAATGTCACTAAGAACTGGACGTTTCTCCAAATTGGATGAAAAGATGAGACAAAAATTCCTCAGCAAGCTGCCAACCGACCTACAGCAATTAAAGAAACTGTAGGAATTTAGGTAGTAAAACAGAAAACAGAAACATAAGTTCTTGTCCAAGGTTGAAGTTTTAGGCAACAATTCCAAATATGTTTTGTGTAAAAGCACCATCCACATCATCATCATCAGAGTGGACAGAGAATGCCTTTAAAACCAGAGATTTTGAGCTGTTTTTTGCAAAGAACTGTACATAAATATTGTTATAACAAGATGTACTAAGCTGTTGGAGTCCACCTGAATAAGACTAAAGGTTTTAATCAAATCAAAAAGTTCCTCAACAAAGTATTACCTTAATTGTGTGCACACTAATTCAATCAAGTCATATTACTGATTTTGTTTATGAGTATTCTTATTATTTTAACTTATAAGAACAAGTAGTGGCTCAATTTTCTTTGAGACATTTTATTTTCATAAATAGTGATCGTCAAAATTCCAGTCGTTGGTTGCAAACAAATCAGCGAGAAACAGAGACAATTTATACTGGTAAATCGAGTCTCTCAAAGTCTTATTTCACTCCAGTTTTGTTAAAAAGTTGAGTTTTTAAGTCCATTTAGTCCCATTACCAATGAAATCTTCTGAATACTGTTCAAAATACAGGACAACTTTGCTGACTTCAACTTGAGATAGTTGCAGATGCTCCTTGCAGACACAAGGGGGCACCAATGAGCGGAATTTTCAACCGGAACTTGTTTCCACGTGCTGCCTCGAACGGAAGTAGGTTTGTTTTGATGCCGCCAGCAACCTGAACAACGTGTAGTTGCGTTTTTCCTGCTATGTGCTCAATAATTTTGCAGAAAGTTCAAAAAATGTCCAACGTGGATGGTCATATCGATAACTACTGCCCAGAGGAGGAGCAGAAAAGGACCAAACGGAAGATGTCTCTCTCAAAGTAAGTAGACAGCTCAGTCGTCATTGCTTGAATTGCCAACTTGTGAATTCTAGCCTGTTTTTATATTTGTTGTACGGGGTTTAAAGTCTTTCCAAAATGTTGACACACTGTCATATACTTATGTGTTGTTTTTTCTCTTTGAGTCACACAGCAGATTATCGTTTCTCTTACAGCTTTGATTTGAGTTTATATGTTTTTTTTTTTTTTTTCCAATTTATGTTCATTGTCACTCCTTTTTTCCCCTCTTATTGGATTGTTTGTTTTTGTTTTTTCCCCTCCAAAATAAGCCTATATATTTTCTAATTTGTTTGCTCTGGTCTAGTTGTGGAGTTTGTGGATCAGAGGAAGCGAAGTATAGATGTCCTGCCTGCCTCTCACACACCTGCAGGTGAGCGGTTTTTCTTTGTATTTTGACATTTTTTTTCTGTCAGTCGCTTGTTTTCTCTTCAAATGTAGACTAAATAATATTGAAAATATTATTTTGTTTTTTGATAGTCGATGTTTTCAACTCGTCTATTTGTTGTTTAGTCTCTTTAATGCGTCTATGTTAGCTTACCAAGCCTATGTTAAGCTGACATAGTTTAGCTTAGCATGTGTACAGGAGATGTACAGCGACATTTCTTGAGAACACATCATAATATGTACAGACTCTGGTGCATTAATTTATTTTTCTTCCATTCTATAGGGTTTTTTATTTGTTTTGCCATATTTTCCCCCAGTGCTGTGTACATGTGTTTCATTTCAGTGGCATAGAAAGACAAAATAAAGAGAAGGTTCGATTACTTTAACAAGAAGGATTCTCAGAAATCCATTTCATTTCCTCATGTTTAGTTCCATGTTTGTTTGTTTTTTTCTCAATGCGCCAGCATATAAGGCATGGTAAGAAGCACTGCAACAGTAACTCAAAAATTATATAAAAAAAATAAAATAAAATTCAGCTCAAAGTTTATGTGGGAACAGGTATGTTTAAGTGCTTACAGTTGTTTTTATATGGGTCCCATTTTGTATTGCAAAAAGCAAGTTCTAGATTCTGTATTTTCAGTGTGTAGCTGAAGTTAAAGCACATGTTTATTGCTTCCTTTATAGTTTGGATGTCACATTTAGCTTGAACGACAGATGTAGTTTAATATCATCAGTGAAAAAGAAGGAAAATGTTGCTATGTTTACCATGAAAGAGTCACTGTAGACGTTTCTAACACCAGTCTATAAAAATCCTGCACTTTTTTGTGCAGAAATCTAAAATTTATGACCAACTCCTGGCGGTGTTTTTGTTTTTACTGTCTGAACTTTACTTTGATTCACTTCCAGTAACAACCTGCCAATAGAAATGATTCACACTTTGTTCCTAGATTTCTGGGGATCCTGAAGTATTTATAACCCAACCTTCAAATACAAAATGTCACAGCAGAGGTCATAGCTGGAATTTTTATTTGGCTAAACGGTCCTACCAAATGTTCTGCCCATGCTCATGGATGCCTGTTGGTTTTGGTTGCTGTTCAGTTTTCTTCATTGCGCCGTTTACTAAAGACACGGTCTCTGTTTGACATGAACCAGACACTTGTCTGTCTGTGGAAGTCTGAACACTGTCTGTGTGCACTAGGATTAACTCCCACTGGCACAGATTTAGTCTTAACAGATTCAACCAAAGTACCTCTACACTAATTCATTCCATTTTTGTTAATAAAATGCCAAGTAGTAATCCATCTAAGGAAACCACGACACATGCTACAGTTGTCACAGAAGTTTTAGTTGAAGTTTTAAAGTGATGTTGCTCGGTTATCATTCTCTTTGTGTGTTTTGTTTAGAATAACTCAATTTCCATGTTCTGTATATTTATTTTCCAGTTTGCTGTGTGTGAAGAAACACAAGGACGACTCCGGGTGCAGTGGTGTTAGGAATAAAACAGCTTTCGTGACTTTGTCACATTTTGACGAAATGACACTTCTCAGTGGTGAGAATCTGCTCTGCAAAATATTTTATAAAGAAACTTTAAGAGAAATATGTACGTAGATAACCTTTCAAAAGTATTTGTACAGCTTGACTAATAAAAATTACCACATAATCGTAAATTGTAAAGTTCAGTTTTACGCATGTATTACTGTTCTTGTACTCACAATTGTATTTGTGTGTGTGTGTGTGTGTGTGTGTTTTTGGGAGTGTTTTTCCAACACATTTACTTTATTGTTTTTAAATCTGTCTTTTTTCTCTGTTGTGCCTTCTGTTAGTCTCTGTTCCTGGCAGACTTCTCCACAGGCTGATGCTGCCACCTCTGTTTTTATTGGGGTTTTGTTTTCTTGTGGAAAATGACTTTCATGTTTGCACTTCATTAGCACCAGTTTTCAAATCCAATGAAACATATACTTCTCTGTTACAAGCTTTTGATTTTTTTTCTTCTCTACATTGCAGAACTCAGAAAAACAAAATATAAGAACAACTTTTTTTCCCAACCATTATAATAACTGACTTGTTTGGTACTTGGATTGTATTACATATCTACCCTGATACATTTACTGTTTTCCCTTTGCCTGTAATGTAGACTACAGGTTTCTAGAAGATACTGGCAGATTTGCTGACGGCGCCACCAGAGATGATCTCATCCAGGCTCCACGTACAACTTTGAAAGTAAGTCTGTGATTATGCATTTATTTACCGCCCTTCACTCTTGCTTTTTTATTGGAACACTATCACACTGAAAATCTTAGTTTAGGATTAGTGTAGGATGTTTGAAAGTTAGGGTTAAAAATTTTCCTGAAATATCTCTGTTTTATTTCACAGAGCTTGAGGCAAATAAATGCTGAGCTTAAACGACCAGTAAATGCTGCAACTGAACAGTAAAATAAAGTAGCTCACAACAACTCTGTTTTCAATTGCAGTTAAACCCTCAAAAGCATGAAAATGCATGATTAATATGGATTTATCTATTTTCTGTATTTCACATTTTATTCAGATTTATTACATCAATCTAATGTTCAATATTTAATTAACTGTCTATGATTGCACAAACAGTAAACAGTAGGGGTGCACTGATTTATCGGACAGCCGATTTCCTTAATTTTGGCAGATCGGTGCTTGGCCGATTTTTACATGAGAACCAATCTTATCCACTGATGTTATCAATGTCGGCAAAGGTCTAAAAATCAACCACTGTGCTTTTCTTTTTTCCTGTGAGAGAGGTTTGGCTGTGAAACCGGCCGACCAG